CGGACGGCCGCTGCCCAAGCAACCGGGCTGGGCGCCGCTGCTGCCGTCGCTGCACCATGCGGGGAGCCCCGACTTCGGCGCTGCTGTGCTTGGCTTTGGCCGCGCTGCTGCTCAGCCCGCCGGCCGAGGCGTGGTACAAGCAGGCGGCCGGCCCCAGCTACTACTCGGTGGGGAGGGCGTCGGGGCTGCTGTCGGGCATCCGCCGCTCGCCCTACATCCGCCGCTCCGACGACAACGGCCTGGCCGACCAGAGCGCCGAGAGCGGGAGCCCCGACGGCAGCAGTGCCACCGCCGCCGCCGCCCCCTTCCTGGCCGCCGAACTTCGACAGAGCCCCGGCGGGCTGCGGAACATGGTGAGGAGAGGCGGCCGCCCCGTTGGAGGCTCGGCCAGGCATGGGAAAGGGCGGGCGGAGCAGCGCACAAGAGCGCCGGGCTCCTCAACGGGGAGAGGGAAGGGCCCCGGCGGGAGACCCCGACCGGTGGCAAGGGAGGGCAGGGGGAGCGGGGAGGACCGGCCCTGCCCCGACGGATGGGCAGAGGGGGGATTCCCCCCCCCCGAAAAAAAGAACGGCGTTCCCCACCGCTTCCCTTCTGCCCAGATAAGCGTGCTTGGGATGGCAGCCTGAGCGCCCCGGGCGGGCCCTGCCAGGGGCAGGTGGGATCTGTGGCCGGATGCTTCCCGGCCAGCCTGGCTGCTGCAGACCCTCGGTCGCCACATCGCCTGGCCAGCTCCCGCGCTCTTTTTCTTCTCAGGCTGTCTGCGTGAAGGAAGTGGCCCCGGAGCTTCAGAGTTGCCAGCTGCTGCCAGGCGCGCCCAGCGTCATCCAATGCAAGGCCGATGTCACCGTCTCGCTGGACCCTGCTGACTGCACCGGTCCCTGAGCCCCCCGACGGGACAACCCCCTTCCTTCCTGGGAGCTCAGCTCACCCACGACCGGGACGGGACCAGCAGAGGGGAGGGGAGGGGAGGGGAGGGGAGAGAGGGTGACTTCCTTTATAACTCAGTGTTGGCAAGTCTCGCAGGGTGAGGGGGCTACCTTTTCCTTTCCCACCCAGTGTATTGATAATAAATGTGTTTTAAATGGCTCTTGAGATTGTCTGTCTCTCTTTAGAACCAGAAGAGTTGGATCAACAGCTGTTTCTAAACACACACACACACACACACCTTAGAACCAGAAGAGTTGGGTCAACAGCTGTTTCTGAGGGAACACACACACACACCCGTTTGTGTAACTGAGAGGCACCTTTGTTTAATTGAGAGTCCTGTTATCCTTCTTAGAATAAAACCAAACCCCAAATATGTATAAAGGAAAAATGTATAAAGGGGTGGCTTGTGCCATATCTTTTATGCGGGTCAGGTTAAAGGGTCTCAAATTGTGGCAGCTTTCAAGTTCTCAGAGCTCTTCCCTAATGTCCAAGCAGAGTTCCTTATCTCCGGGCAACTTTCTTTATGTCAGCCCTTCTGGAGACAATGGAGCGGGAGCTACCATGAATTTCACTCTTTTCCTTCGTCCTTCTTAAATCTGATCTGGCTATTCGAGACAGAGTCCTACCCGAGAATCAGGACAAATCAGCCGCAACACAGGGATATGGGGTGGACGGAGGTGCACAGGAAGCCACTGCAGACTTGGTTCTCCACTGACCCACGGATAACGATAGCAGCAGCTCTCTGGGGTCTTTTGCAGGAACCCTTTCCCTGGTTCAGGATGCAAAAGAGGGCATGTGGGAGTCACGTCTGCAGGCAAAGCATGGGCTCCTGTCTGCTCCGAAGGGAGTCCCTGCTTGGAGTCTTCAAAACCTGAATGGAGCTGATCCTGACAAGCCCTTTGGGACAGCAGAAATTAATCAGAGGCGCCCTAGCAAGGAAAAGATGGGGTGGCCCATCTCAGCAACTAGCTGCTAGAGAAATGTGGGAATGCTTCCTGATGTGGCTGCTTTCTGGTCCCCTGCATCCATGCACAGGTTTTCATAGGAATTCAGACCCTGCTCTCTTCCACCCATAGCAGGTTCCAGATTTCCCTAGGGCTCCTTCTCTCATTTTGTTTCTGTCAGACATCTGATAAGAATAGCTGCCTGATGCCTTTGGAAGGGTAAGAACAGAGGTGAAGACACTCTTGTTCTTTTTATTTAACGACAGCTTCTGGAATTTCCCAGCCATCCTAGTCACTGGCCATACTGGCTAGAGGATTATGGGACATGTAGTCAAAGAAGGAACGTATCCAAGCTAGGACTAGGAACAGAATGCCTGGGAGCACCCGAGAGGCTAACTTTCCAAACCATTTACCTGAAATGTTTTTCAAAGTTTGTTTTCACCTCCTGCCTTTTTCTTGATATCTAGGGCAATTAAAGCAATAATGTAGGCATCCACTGCTTGCAGGGAAACGGGGGGGGGGGATCATGAACACAGGAAGACACACACACACACATGAATGATGCCTGGCTGTGATTCGAAACTGGCTTACATGGAAGGAAATTCAATGGAAATCCATCATTGCTGTTCAGTAAGCATGGATAGATCAAGCCATCAACAACTTTCTTTTTTCCCTTTCCTGAAGAGAGCCTACTCTTACCTATGCAAAATCAGATATTGGCACTCTGCGAACAATTTTTCCATCCACTGAATAACTCTTTCCTCAATACATGTACACATAAACCGAGGGTCAGGGGAGGAGAGAAATGCCTGTTTTTATACCAGGTACACCATTTAATGTCTATACCAAAGTCCATTCTATCCACCATGGGGGTGGCAAATGCTACAGCCGTCAAAGAGGACACACACACACACACCATTGCTGAGATGGTAAAAGTGTGGTCAGGGTGCTGAAAGCAATAGAAAAGAAGAAACAGAAAACCCCATTACATTCTCAGACTCTGGTCTGCTTTGAGACTTCATGGAAGTGAACAGAGCAGTCCACACCACTGGTGTGTTTTGCTTGAAAACTGAGTGGTAGAGTTAACTTGTAACACTTACACACTCCTAACTGAGGTTGTCCTGAGGGTGAGTGAGTTTTAATCAGATGGTAGAAGAATGTTTCTGAAAGAATTTTTTTTGAAAAGATGGGTGGAGGGACTGGAGAACAGCCAAGAAGGAAGAACTTTATACTGTATTACAATTTGTGATGATAAAAACTGAGACTAAAGAAGAAAGAGTACTGTATAAAATACTAAGGGCTGAACCAAACATTAGTGCTCTGTAGACACATATTAAAATTGACAGGACTATCAAGAGGTGACTTGTCGGTCCCATACAATAAGTTCACTCTAAAAAGTACTAGCATTGACTTTAGCCCTAAATAAATTATTCCCATAGGAACAGTGTCAAATTTAATCCCACAATAAATTATTCCCATAGGAACAGTGTCAAATTTAATCCCACAACGAGGGCTGGTTATCAGAACAGGGATTTTGAAAATGATTGCATTAATGGCTTTGAAAAGATCATAGATAAATGCACTGGAGTTCAAAGCAAATGAAGACATTCACACTGGTGAGGAAACGGAGGCTGGTCACCCAGAGGCACTAGACCAAATGCTGCAAGAACAAAGCACACCCACACCCACACCCTTCCCCACTCACAGCAAAATGCACACATGCTTATTACAAGACAGAGGATATCTTTCCCCCAGTTTTGCCTTTCTTCCCTGATGTTCTGGATAATACAGTGGCTTATAGGAATAATGGGGTTGTTGGGTTTTTTTAAAAAAAGGTCATATCCTGAGGCCAAAGCGTGGACGATGAGCTGCGACTCCATCCTAGGAGAGAAACCACGAAGATGCATCGAACAAGATGTGAACAGAATGTGGTGTGTGCTCCAAAGCCCCCTCCTCTGAGTTCATCTCAGTTCTGGTGGGGATGCAAGGACCTGGTTGGCCTCTCTTCCTGGAACAGCTTTGGAATTCAAGCACTGAAGGCTTCTGAAATTAGCAAGTCAGGTTAAGAACTGTGGACCATTTCAGCCGTTCTGCAGAAATCAGCACAGGTTTGCTGTGGAGCGTATGCTAGACAGAAAACTCCAACCCTCAGGGTTCTCTGATTGGTTTATCAATGTAAGTTGCACACTCGTCAGGACATGGTTTTTGCATTTATGAGGCTGCTCCATGTTCTGTATGCAAACCCATGTTTCCACAGTAAACACACCACAGTGTGAAATACACAGCAGTGTGATCAACGTACAATATTTTTGGCTCCCATCAGTCCATTCCAGGGCTTGCTTGCTTCTGATTGTGCTTCCTGCTCTTTTCTGGATGTTGAGGGGGTGGTCATGGGTGTACTCCAGGCCTCAGTCCTAGAGCGTTCAGGTTTATTTAATCAAGAAAAAGTAACCATTTCCTTTTTTAAAATATGGCTTCTAAAAGTGATTTCAAAATTGTTTTAAACCTCCCTTTAAAAAAAAAGATCTTTCTGTCTATTGTAGCTTACTTGGAAAGCCTGACAGGCATAAATGATGAACATACAAAAAAGCAATCAGCTGTCGCTATTAGGTAAGATAAAGAATTAGTTTCTAAAAACCATAACAAGCCACTTGAGGAACAGGTCTTGGAACTAAAACTTTGGAAAGCACTTACCTTCATGCTGCAAAAAAGTGTATAAGTTGTGCACATTTTATGTCCTTTAACTTTTTACACTTGTTTTCTGTGCTGGGGGAAACATGCATTGGAGATCTTTTTCTACATAAAGTGGAAAACTTTCTGTTTGCAGGTGTCCATCTAGAAATTTAATGTATTGAATGGACTTTAAGAGCTGACATTTCAGATCCCCCTGTGGCTATTCAGACCTTTTAACTTATCTGAAGTACAGAGAGAGAGAGAGAGAGAGAGAGAGAGAGAGAGAGAGAGAGAGAGAGAGTGAGAGAAGAGACACCCGCTACACATGGAGCCCAGTCGAGAATTACCAGCACATAAGGCAGATGTCCTCATTTAATCATCTCATCCGAGGAAATAAATGAATTACATTGTGTGGGGGGAAGTTCCACAGCTTAGCCTTGACTAATGCTGTCAATCAGAATCAGTCCCTTTCCGTGAGAGAGCGAGCGAGCGCTGCAGCCGCTGGAGTTTAATTGCACTGGATATATTGTTTTCTATGTACAAAGACACAGATCCTTAATTTTAAAATGTTTTTATTAAGGGCAACGAGCAGCGCGGCCATCCGCGAGAAAAGGTTGGTTTCTCTGCCTTTGCTTTAGTGTTACATGGAGGGAGCATAGGGCGGTCTCTTGGCGCCCCCTGTTGGGCAGATTGGGCGGCTCCCCTGGAGGAAGTACCTGAATGACAGGCCAACAATAAGACAGTCTTTTAGTACAGGATCCATCAACCAAATTTGTTCTTGTTTCCAGGACCGTGCTATAGGGAACATCCCCTTATTTATCCAGCAGAACTGTTCCTTCTGTCCTCATTGACAAAGAAATGGAAAGAAACGGCTGCATGGCCCTCCTGAGCCCCATCAGGCCTGTGATAGGAATGAGTTTATACGCTCCTGCCAAGTGCCCTTGCTGCTCAGTCTGCGGAAAATCACTGGCTGGAAGCAACGGACAAATTTGTGCTTATAAATTGTGCAGTTTTTCTGTCTGAGCAGTGTACCCGCAACGAGGAAAGCACGGACTGCAAACAAAGAGCAGAAGAATACACGAGTGACAGTTTTACTTGTACAGGTATTTGTATTTGTTTGTAGCCAAAAGGGGCAATGCTGTCATTTTGCATATACTGTACTTTAACATCTTGTCTGGTCACAGAGGTTTTTCTGGATTGTGTGCACCATATTCTGTGCCAAGGAGAGTGAAAATGACGGTGGCCAAACAAACGAGAGGTGAATTGGCAGGAAGAGAGGAAAGGGGGAGGTCCTCCGTGGAGGGGGGAATGGTGGATATAAAAGGACATGTTGACCAGATACTTGGGAGGGTTGGGAGATAATATGGGTAGAAGACCCATGGACTGGTAAATGGGAAACAGTGAGGGTTCCTCGGGA